ACTTTGAATAAATACCGGAAAAATGGCAGTGTGAGTAGTTCACTGTGGCATTCCTTCTTCCATTCCCTCATACCCAGAGGAGTCACTAGGTGGTATCAACCGTTAACACACTTGGCTGCTAAGGAAAAGTGTGCAGGTCCCAGTCTATCCACAGGTGCCTTGAAGAAACGTTTAGTGATCTACTTGTGAAAAACCAGTCGTTGAAAACTGTGTGGAGCCCAGTTCTACTCAAACACACCCAGGATCATGATGAGCCTAAATCGACTGAAAGGCAACTGGTATGTAATGCAGAAAGAAAGTGACTGCAAATATCTGTCTAAAGTGAAGAGATTTCTTTCATCATGGATGGTGTTACTTTGGGACACTTGTTATATTTAAAATTCAAAAAGCTGTGAGGGAGATAGTATTATCCTCATTTTTCTCATGCACAGAGAAACTAAATAATTTGCCCAAAGTCACCTTGTTTATAAATGGAAGAACTAGGATTTGAACACCAATATTTTAAAGCTAGAGCCCATGCTTTTAATGACTACTATATACCACTTCCACAGCAAGAATATATAGAATATATTACCTTATAATGTATGTAAACTACCTAGCAAGGGCTCAATACATGTCATTTTATCTTATACTCTATTTTTCAGAAAACATGTTATTACAGTCCTTAAATTTTAATGACTTTCCCACATGTGTCTTGTCTAGAAAGCCAGATGGAATCTTCCTCGTGACAGATTGGATTTTTAACATTCTCCAATAGAATTCAAAACAGTACCTTGCACACTGTCAGCCCTCAACAGGTGTTTATCGACACTGACTGAGGGAATAAATGAAGATATTCTTATATTTGCACTAAATAAATGTTCTTATATTGCTTGTGTAAAAAAGAGAACAAAATTAGATAATCTTGATTAGGCTTCAAAATGTGTCATCCAATCATTCTTTCCATACTTTATTTACAAGATAGCACATTTCACTAAAGCAAACGGTAGAAAGATATTGACTCTCAGGTTTCATGCAAACGTTGGAGCTGAGAAAGACACCAAAGTGAAATCTTACAATTGATCATCCGTATTGCTCAAAAGGAAGCAAGGAGTATCAAGAAAATGTGGCATTCTTGTAGTAGATTTGGAAATAAAAGGCAATTGGTTTCCAACTCCAATCATCTAGACAAAAAATATCAATCAATCTCTGTTTCTCTTCATAGTCTTAAGCTTCTGCAACTTTTTCTGATGAAATGGGATGTATTCAGTCCCACTGTTGTTTTTGGATGTTATTGTATTTTGTAAGGTCAAAATGTAAGGACAGCCTTATTAAACATTTAGGTTATTGTATTTTATTGGGTCAACATCTAAGGAAAGACCTAGATTTTTTAATAATATATATTTTTTATGTGAGTTTGTTTTCTCCCTTCTATTCCAGTTTTCTGGGAGTCTTTTTTTTCCTCATTTTTTTTTTTCCAGTTTGTATGTATTTCCTAATATAAAAGAAACCTTTTGAAGAAAAAGTATCACTCAATTGCAAAGTACATTATAAGCATTTCCCATTTTTAAAGGGCATTTTTTGGCCAAATTTCCATCCTTAGAATAATTAGATGGCTAGACAATTAGAGAAAATATTTTTGAAACAGTTTGCTCAAAGTTCAATAATACTCTGAACCTGTCATTACAAATGGATTAATGTCTGTGCAGGAAAACAAAGACCAAGGGCGAACTCAATATGGATTACTTCAACTGTATCGAAGGATTACATGGGGATAGTAGAAAACAACAGTTCTCTACCAAAAACAAGGACAAAATGATAAGAATTTGTTCTAAGTGTCAGAAAAAGAGATTTACAGGAGAGGACCCTCTTTCCCTCGAAAAAAAGAATAGAAGACTACCTTTCAGAAGGGAGCTCCGGTAGCATAGTGCCTAAAGCACTCGACTGCTAACCAGAAGGCTGGCGATACCCACCAACCACTCCTGGGAAGGAAGGTTGGGCAATCTACTTCCATAGTGATACCACCTCGGAAACCCACGGGAGGGGTCGCTATGAGTCAGTCCGACTCGATGGCACATAACAACAACAACCTTTCAGAAGGGATCAATGTGAATTTCCTGTCTTGTCTTAGGGGATGCACAGGATAAATGCTTTCTGGCTCTACAAATTTCTGAAGTTGCCAACTTATAGACCCAATGTTTTTCCAAGGTTTCTTCGTAAGTCGGTCATTGAGAGTACACATGATGGATGTTTATTAACAGAAACAGTAAGGACATATGGCAATATGTGCAATATTGTTCCTAAACTCAAACATTGGTGCCCTTCTCTGTATAAGTTCCCCTTCTTTCTAGAAAGGGGATAAACATTCTATGAGTCTTGGAGTTCTTGGAGAAGCTATATGTACACAACATTTGGCAAATAATTTCAGAAAGTTCACAGGATCTTTGACTCTGCTTCTTGAATGTAGCTTTCCTGTCTCTGAACCTTAATTTAACTGTGAACGAGTCCTAAATTTTGTTCCTGGCCTTCCTCAACACGCTTTTTAGAACTCTGACAATTACCTGCCCTATTAGTCTTGAAAACATACTTTGACTTTAGACTAAATTTGAACTCTCATATTAAAGTGTGCACTTTCAAACTATTGTTTCAATAGTTCCTAGAGTGTCAAGTATTTTACATAATTACTACACTTAATTCTCACAATCACTCTATGAACCATGACTGTTTTACATATTAAAAAATTGGGTCTTTCTGAATTCCATCTCTAAGCCTTCTGTAATTGACATCAAAATTCAAGTGCTATCCCAAAGCAGTACATAAACTGTCCCATGCAAATAGTCCCTTTTCACTTTAGTTAGCTACCATTTGCAGTACCAATTGTAATGAGCAATGTCTTCCCTGCTTGATTAGAACAGCCAGTCAGCAGTTATCTCCTCTGAGCTAGCCTGGGCCATTTGTAGCCACCTGTTGCCTGTTAATTCACTATGTACTGCATCTTTAACTCTTTTACAGGAGAAAGACTGTAGATGTCTCAATGGGAAACAATGGAGAGTGAACTCAACATAGTATTTCTATTCTTGGATTCTCTGATTCTAGTGTGATTAATTGCTCTAAGTTGTGTGCTATCCATTTGTTAAATCAACAATCTAACACTTTCACTTACGTATTGAAATGCTCAGCAAAGATCAAGTTGGTGGAGGTGCCGGTGATCGTGGTCAGTCCACCGATGGTAGAAGAGTAAGCAACACACAGACACATAAGTTTACACATCATGTGATCCCTCTTTGTTCGATACTTGGTTCCTGTAACTGAAATCTGTTATGTGAGAACATGGACTATTAGAACAGCTCTATTTCTGGTCAAAGCAAGCCATAATAACATTTATCTTTCCATCATTCCTCTTTAGGAAATACTTTTTATTGATTTTTTATGAATACTGATATACCAGATCACCAAACGTCTACCTCCAGC